TTTAAAAACTGTAGTGTAAAGCACCCTTCTGGCAAGACAGTGATGGAGTGAATGATGGTGAAAGTTTTTCTTTTTCGGGCCACCCTGCCTTGGTGGGAATCGGCCAGTGTGATAATAAAAAAAATAATAATCCTCCATTTTAGGTGCCTTAAGTTGAAATCCCCCAGGAGCAAGATGTTGGGTGCAGGAGCTGGAAGATTTTCCAGACAGTGGTCAATTTTTAACAGCTGTTCCTGGAATTGCTGGGATGTTGCATCCGGAGGCTTGTAGACTACCACAATGACTAGGTTTTGGTTCTCGACCTTTACTGCTAAAACTTCCACTACATCATTTGAGGCATTAAGCAGTTCTGTGCAAACAAGTGACTCTGCAATGTACAGGCCAACCCCCCCCCCTTTTGCCTGTTCACTCTGTCACATCTGTATAGGTTGTAACCTGGGATCCATATTTTGTTGTCATTCAGGATGAATGACTAATATCAAGTTCAGTGATGATCACCGAGCCAATATTTTGATGAAAAAAGTTACTTATTCCAAATATTGCAAATTCCGATGATGACGTAATCCGGGGGGTCCATTGTAAAGCACTAATAAAGTGGATAAATGAACATTTAACATCACGCTTACCTTTATTGAAGACTCTTGTTAGTGTATGGCAGACAGGTAGGAGGTGAGAGGGAGGTGAGTTCATTATGCTTCAATATGATGCTAATATCATCTCTACAGCTTATTTATTTATCACAATTCGTCTAATATGACATAATAAACAATATTACTAACATAGAAACATGATACTTGTATATACTCTAGAATTAATAAAATATGTCATTCCTTATGTCACGAGTGGTAATGGTGTTGTTGTTGTTGGGTTTATAAGGGCCACTCAGAGAAGCCGTACATATTAGTGGTGGTGGAGGCTGCAGCAGAAGCCACCACCACTATTCACACAAATAATATACATAACTTATAAATAAGAGATATTTGCACTTTAATTTATAAATAAGAAATATTTACACTTTATAAATAAGAAATATTTACACTTACCTTGGAGAAGATGTTAGTTTAATTAGTTTGATGGAGGAGATGCTGGCAGAGGTTTAGGGTGGCGGAAGATAGCAGGGCAGCTTATGTTCAGTGGCCTTATACACCTCCAACAACATTGGAGTTACTTTTATGTCATTTTTCTATTGCTTAATCACTTGACTTACTTGCTACACTGTTAATGATACACTTTATCGCTGGCTGGCGCTATAGCCTTTATTGATACCTGCTGCTTTAGTATTGTACATATCGTAGAATCACTGAAGAAGGCACATTCTCCCCTCTCTCTTCCTTCTCAACTTTGGTACTTTGCTACAAGTTTTTCCTTGAATTCTATTGTGTGTCTTTCCTTCTTTACCAAAGGGCTGGCACTATGAGATTTCTTTGGGCCCATGGTGGCTTATTTAGCAGTTGCAAGCACAAAAAATGATGGATTATTATGAAATGTATCGTATGAACCTGTGGGGTGATGGTCACTCACCCACAAATCATGCCACACTGACTCTCTGAATGTTGTGTGGGAGCCTTTGTGTACACCCAGCTGCTCCTGGCTGCACAGATGCATTCCATATGATGGATGAATCACAAGGCCAATCATGAACTGTGAGGCTATATTTTGACGAAAAAAGTTGCTGAAAGTCGGATTTCACGAAGGTCCCAGCCGCCAAAATGCGGGGATCCACTGTACCATGTTTCTATGTTGTTTATATTGTTTATTTTGTCATATTAGATAAATTATGATAGATAAATAAGCCATAGAGTTGATATTAGTGTAATATTGAATAATATTCTGTCACCTGAATAATACTGAATAATATTCTGTCGAGATCCGCATGCAGCTGCCTTGCCTTTTCACAAATGATCGTCTCTGAAACACTATCTCCCTCTAACTGTTTTTCCCCGATCCACAACAACAACAACAACTCCACATCCTCATTTGTTTGCGATCTTACTTCCTTCTTAAATTCCATCGTGTTTCTCACTTTCTTTACCAAAGGAGCTTTACTAGGAACTTTCTTTGGGCCCATGGTGACTTATTTCACAGGTGCCCTTAATAAAAAAACACCAAAAACAATGGATTTTAACCCTCTCAGGGTTGGCAGGCCCTCTCCCAAATCTGTTCTCAGGGTCAGAAAATATTCGAAAGAAAAAAAAATATTTTTTTTCTTATGAAAAGATAGTTTCTTTTTCTAAACATTATAGGCTAAAAAAATTTTTTGCCGTCAATACTTACCAAGATATGGAGGCGTGAAGTTAACAGAAAATGATTGGCATATGGCAACATCACCGACTGCCGGTCACCCGGTAATCATTTATTTATTTTTTTTTTTTTTGTACTTTTTTCTATTATTTTCTTCTTTTCTTTTCAAGTAATTTTTATGGCCTGTGAGACCAATATGAGCACTATTTTGTAAGTTTTTTCTCTTTCTGTACTATGCAATACCTGCACAAACACTGTTGTCACTATATTATTTAAAAAACTTGTTTACACAAATGAACAATATAAAGTGTTGTTTATTACTATTTTTATTTATTTTATATACACATATACAGTCACAGGACATGTTTCTAGAAGTTCTGCAGCCTGTGCAAGTCTTTGAAACATGGTGTCATGTACAATGGTGTTTTACACTACTCACACATAAAACGAGTGTGTCTGCGTTGTTGTGGGCGTTTTTTCTTATGTGCACAGACGTAACACCTCTTCTGAGCCTTTTTCTTGAAAGCAGTAGCAGGCAGTTTTGTTAGGAAGTGATCACCATGCTTCAGACGAGAAGGTAGTTGTTGATAATTTCATGGGCGGTTTTCTATTGCAGGTGTTGTTCCTTGGTACCTGATTATTATTTGTCTAATGACAGACAAACAAAATTTGCCATATGGTGGTTTGTTTCTGGTCCTCATCTTATACATATTATAAGCATTGAGCATAGAAATGTCTGGAATATGGAAAAAGAGTTTTATGTACCACTTATAACTCTTGCAAACACAATCAGCAAACCCAATCTGCATGTCACATTTGTCCACTGAACGCATATTGAGGGTTGCAATCAGGCGGTCTGTTGACCAGTATGATTTCACACTGTGCTTATACACATGTGGCATAAGCATTATTGTGACAAAGAAAAGATACATCTCAGCCACAGTTGTCTCCTTCCACTGGTGTAGGCGTGAGTTTGGTGAAAGTATTGTGTTTGCCATGGTGTACTCGAAGTATCTGTTGCTTTCCCTTACAGTAATTTCCATCAGGGGTTCGTCAAAGAATAACTCGAAACATTCCAGTTCAGTGGCATTGTTCCCAAATGTACAAGATGGCTGTATTCCACTTTGGCTTTCATCAAACTGATGGGGATTTGGAACAAAACTGGCAGCTTCCTGCCAATCCCAGGTGTGGTCTGCTGGTGGGTACTGGATATTGACAGGTGATTGTGGTTGTGGAGGTTGTGGTTGTGGAGGTTGTGGTTGTGGAGGGTGGTGTGGTGGGTGGGTAAGGGATGGTGGCCTTTGTTGTAGATCAACTGAGGCAGCGGCGTGGGTGGCAGCGTGGACCACTGTTTGTGCCTCACGGCTGGCACCACCACTACCACCACCAGATGCATGCACATTTTCCATCCCAATTGCAACACTATCATCTTCATTTTCACTATCTGTTCCTGTTGTACAGCCATGGGATGTACTCCAAGATATACTCCTTCCCCTTGGAATAGCATATGGCACACTACCAGAGTGCATATACTGTTGTATATGCTGATGCTTCACTGGAGAATATTTCACTTCACTATTGCTACTGGAACTGTTTTCAAGAGCTTGTAGTTCATATTCACTATCACTATCATCACCAGTGCTCACATCTGAGTCCTGGATATGGGAAAATAAGAGTTTCCTCTCTTGTTCTGGTACAACTGAATGTGAACAAGATGGCCCAACACCAGAAGTGGAAGGTTGAGGATCGTCTGGGTTTTCCTCACTATTACCGATATTATGGTCATTAGTTTTGGTCACAACCTTATCAAAACCTTGAAACTCATCTTCACTGGCACTTCCATCTCTATTAGAACTGTCACTGGGGGACAAAAGTGTCCCAATTCGCCGAGGCATGGTGAGCAAGGTGTACTAAAATGGCATTCCTACAATGCGCCAATGGGTCCCAGAATTTTTTCCTACCACACAGACCCATTCTCTCACATCTAGGCCTACCAGCTGTTTCCCGCTTAATTTGAAGCCATTAGAATTTATGGGTACTGGTATGGCACCAACCCTGGCATGCAAGCCATACTAGTATGGCACGAACCCTGAAAGGGTTAAGGAAATGCTTGGATGAATGTGCGGAGTATATGCTCACTCGCCGACACACAAAGAGAGACTGACTCCCCTACACACGGCGTCCTGGTGGGTCGCATCTAATACGGCCGATATACGAGGCAGCGATTGAAATACGGAGCAAAATTTCCGTGGAAAAGATGGCCTAAATATGAATCAGCCGATAAAGGCAGCAGCCAATAAACAAGGTTCCACTGTGTTAGTATTCAGTTTTTTTTGTTTTTTTTGTTACAGATGAAACCAAAAGTTTCATCTAATTTTTATTGTTTTGTCAGTTTAAACTTTTTTGTCCATCCTTGTAACATTACTTCTTTCTTCATTATACCAGTTAATGAATATTTAAAATACACTCAGTCACTTGTCTACATTTTCTGGCCACAACATTAATTCTGTTTCAATATTGTTATTTTATACTTAACTTTCTCTGCTTTTTTAAGCTTCTTTCTACCTTCATTAATTTAAATATCACTTTTGTTCTAATTTGCTGTAGAAGATAATGTGTTCTATTGAAATAATTTAATATGTTTAATAGCATTCATTTTTGTAATTGAGAAAACGTCTGGTTTAGCTTTCACTGCTAAACTATTGCATCTAAGAATATCATCTCCTTTTAACTAGAATTTCTTTCAAAAATTTTCCTAGGTAACAGAAGAGGTATACCAGGTTCTTAAGAATCGACCCTATCATTTTCAATGCCGAGGAAAAGTCAAAGTTAAAGGCAAGGGAGAAATGACCACGTACTTCTTAATTGATCGTAAAGAACCCCCTACGATGAAGGCGGAGGATGGGTCGCGGCCGCCTAAGGTACCTCCGCATCTCCAGAGCTATGGTGAGTCTAATAATACAGAGTTTGGCAGGACACAGGTAGTTAGTTAAAACACTATTGTAGAGCTTTCATACTGAATACCAAAAATTTAAGGAAAAAATGGTAAGGTTTTTCTGAAGGTATAAACAGGTACTGAAACAGATTTTATGCTTATTGATAACGAAAACTAAATTAGGCAAGGTGAGCCAAGGGTTTAGGAAAGTGAAAACATAATGCAATGTTCCTAATGTTTTGGGTAACATCAATAATGATGCATGCATTCATCTATGATACAAGGTAATCCAACTTCTCATAGACTGCTAATATAACACAGTCATGGTTTCACTTTTTGTCATAGTTTTTATTTCTTTGTGTTAATAATGCAGAAGCATTCTGATGTGTACTATTTTCATAAAATGTGTGCAAATATTGTCATTTTGTTAGAAATATGTGTACTGTTCTTCATTCATTTGAGCAAGAAGAGAACTTACTGACGTACTTTAATGATTCGAGTTATTTTATTATATCCTAATCATCAGGTTTACAGATTACAAAACTTGAAGTCTACAGCACAAACAAATGATAAATAGATTAAATAAATAAATAAATATATAAATAATTAAATAAATATATCTGGGGTGGAAGGAAGGAAGGATATGGGTCATCCCAGGAAAGGTTGGAGGAACTAAAGGAGGTCTTGAGTGTTACAGGCTTGAGCATCCAGCAGATGTGTGTCAGCATATTAGATTGTATTGGAGATGAATGGGTTTAATAGCTTCATGTGTTGTTGGAGTGTGACCAAGGTAATTTTTATGAAGGTATTCAAGGGAAACTGGTTAACTGGACTTGAGTACTGGAGGTAGAAAATACAATGCCTACACTCTGCAGGAGGGGTGGGGAGGTGACAACTCAAGAGGGTCACTTGAATTGTGATGTCTTCACAATTCTGGCAAGACTGCTATTGAATGAATAATGGTTACTATAGTTTTTTCCTTTTCTGGCATCACCCTACCCAGGTGGGAGATAGCAAATATGTTAAAAATACCTATGCATATATATAGTGTAACTCTTTAACCTGTGTAACTAGTGTAGTACTGAGCTACTATGGTGGAAGGCTGTGTGTCCCACAAAGAAAGTAGAAACACCTAGATCTGCACTATGAGGGAGGGAGCCATTAAGGTCTTTCTCCCCTGGGTGATGACCACAAGAGGGAGGAGAAGGGAAAGGGGTGGAAAGGAGAGGGAGAGGGGGGAAAGGTGTGGGAAGGAGAGGGGGAGGGGATAGGGGTAGGAATGAGAGGAAGAGTGGGGAAGGTGTAGGAAGGAGAGGGGGAAAGAGGTGGGAAGAAGAAGGAGTGGGACAGTACTTGCCATTACATAATAATAATAATGTCAAAAAGCTGACATTGTTGGCACTTCGAAAGTGAGACATTCATTACATTTGGTTACTTATTCACATTTAGCAAGGAATTCATTATAATAGATTGCTTATACGCATTTATCAAAGGTTTTCCTTAGATTAACTTGTTTATATGCAATTGGCAAAGACTTTCACTATATAGTAAGTTGATCATATTGTTGTACCTTATCATGTTTTTAATGCCATCATTAAGGCATATATTATTTGTATTTATCCAGCAAGCCTCTGCTTGTTGTCAGACATGCACTGCAACCTATTTTCTCCCAGAAGAATGAAAATGTTTCAAGATTTTAATCCAATGTTCTTAATTTGTTTCTTAGGGGAAAATTATTTCATGTGGATCTTGAATCATGAAGAGCATCATAAAACCTTTATTAGTCTTAACTCAAGGTCAGAGATTTAGTGTGGGAGAACACTCGTCTCTCTTCACTGCTACTACCTACTAGTTATTAAAGACGTGCGTGTGTGTGTGTGTGTGTGTGTGTGTGTGTGTGTGTGTGTGTGTGTGTGTGTGTGTGTGTGTGTGTGTGTGTGTGTGTGTGTGCGCATGCGCATGCATGCGTGCATGGGTACGTGCATGCATGCATGTGCACATGTGAATGTGTGCGTGTGTGGGTGTTGGTGGGTGGGGGTAGGGCTGTTCACACTCAGGTGTGTGTGATGCACTTTGGTGTGTGTGATGCACTCTGGTGGTTGTGATGCACTCTGGTGTGTGTGATGCACTCTGGTGTGTGTGATGCACTCTGGTGTGTGTCATGCACTCTGGTGTGTGTCATGCACTCTGGTGGTTGTGATGCACTTTGGTGTGTGTGATGCACTCTGGTGATTGTGATGCACTCTGGTGTGTGTGATGCACTCTGGTGATTGTGATGCACTCTGGTGTGTGTGATGCACTCTGGTGTGTGTGATGCACTCTGGTGTGTGTGATGCACTCTGGTGATAGTGATGCACTCTGGTGTGTGTGATGCACTCTGGTGTGTGTGATGCACTCTGGTGGTTGTGATGTTCTCTGGTGTATGTGATGCACTCTGGTGTGTGTGATGCACTCTGGTGGTTGTGATGCACTCTGGTGTGTGTGATGCACTCTGGTGTGTGTGATGCACTCTGGTGATTGTGATGCACTCTGGTGGTTGTGATGCACTCTGGTGGTTGTGATGCACTCTGATGATTGTAATGCACTCTGGTGTGTGTGATGCACTCTGGTGGTTGTGATGCACTCTGGTGTGTGTGATGCACTCTGGTGTGTGTAATGCACTCTGGTGTGTGTGATGCACTCTGGTGATTGTGATGCACTCTGGTGGTTGTGATGCACTCTGGTATGTGTGATGCACTCTGGTGATTGTGATGCACTCTGGTGTGTGTGATGCACTCTGGTGGTTGTGATGCACTCTGGTGTGTGTAATGCACTCTGGTGTGTGTGAGGCACTCTGGTGTGTGTGATGCACTCTGATGTGTGTGATGCACTCTGGTGTGTGTGATGCACTCTGGTGTGTGATGCACTCTGTTGTGTGTGATGCACTCTAGTGTGTGTGATGCACTCTGGTGTGTGTGATGCACTCTGATGTGTGTGATGTACTCTGGTGGTTGTGAGGCACTCTGGTGTGTGTGATGCACTCTGGTGTGGACGATGCACTCTGGTGTGCGTGATGCACTCTGGTGTGTGTGATGCACTCTGATGGTTATGATGCGCTCTGGTGTGTGTGATGCACTCTGGTGTGTGTGATGCACACTGGTGTGTGATGCACTCTGATGGGTGTGATGCACTCTAGTGGTTGTGATGGACTTTGGTGTTTGTGACACACTCTGGTGTGTGTGATGCACTGTGATGGTTGTGACACTCTGGTGTGTGTGATGCACTCTGGTGGTTGTGATTCACTCTCGTGTGTGTTATGCACTCTGGTGGTTGTGATGCACTCTGATGGGTGTGATGCATTGTGGTGGGTGTGACACACTCTGGTGTATGTGATGCACTCTGGTGGTTGTGATGCACTCTGGTGTGTGTGATGCACTCGTGTGTGTGTGATGCACTTTGGTGTGTGTGTGATGCACTCTGGTGTGTGTGATGCACACTGGTGTGTGATGCACACTGGTGTGTGATGCACACTGGTGTGTGATGCACTCTGATGCGTGTGATGCACTCTGTTGGTTGTGATGCACTCTGGTGTGTGTGATGCACTCTGGTGTGTGTTATGCACTCTGGTGTGTGTGTGATGCACTCTGGTGTGTGTTATGCACTCTGGTGGTTGTGATGCACTCTGGTGTGTGTTATGCACTCTGGTGGTTGTGATGCACTCTGGTGTGTGTTATGCACTCTGGTGGTTGTGATGCACTCTGGTGTGTGTGATGCACTCGTGTGTGTGTGATGCACTTTGGTGTGTGTGTGATGCACTCTGGTGTGTGTGATGCACACTGGTGTGTGATGCACACTGGTGTGTGATGCACACTGGTGTGTGATGCACTCTGATGCGTGTGATGCACTCTGTTGGTTGTGATGCACTCTGGTGTGTGTGATGCACTCTGGTGTGTGTTATGCACTCTGGTGTGTGTGTGATGCACTCTGGTGTGTGTTATGCACTCTGGTGGTTGTGATGCACTCTGGTGTGTGTTATGCACTCTGGTGGTTGTGATGCACTCTGGTGTGTGTTATGCACTCTGGTGGTTGTGATGCACTCTGGTGTGTGTTATGCACTCTGGTGGTTGTGATGCACTCTGGTGTGTGTTATGCACTCTGGTGGTTGTGATGCACTCTGGTGTGTGTTATGCACTCTGGTGGTTGTGATGCACTCTGGTGTGTGTTATGCACTCTGGTGGTTGTGATGCACTCTGGTGTGTGTTATGCACTCTGGTGGTTGTGATGCACTCTGGTGTGTGTTATGCACTCTGGTGGTTGTGATGCACTCTGGTGTGTGTTATGCACTCTGGTGGTTGTGATGCACTCTGGTGTGTGTTATGCACTCTGGTGGTTGTGATGCACTCTGGTGTGTGTTATGCACTCTGGTGGTTGTGATGCACTCTGGTGTGTGTTATGCACTCTGGTGGTTGTGATGCACTCTGGTGTGTGTTATGCACTCTGGTGGTTGTGATGCACTCTGGTGTGTGTTATGCACTCTGGTGGGTTGTCTGAACTGTGATATCAGTGGTCTGGTGGCAAGACAGTAAATAACTGAATGGTACCAAAGTTATTTCTTTCTCTTTCAATCACTCTTATTTGGTGGATGACTAGTGTTAAAAAATTATAGTCATTAACTTGTTTGACAAATGTTTATGTTGAAAAACATTATAGGAAATCTGTACACACACACACAAACTCGAGTGTCCTGCTTTCAAGCTATTTTAACCTTTTTGCTGTCTGTCATGTAGAACTACATCATTGAGACCAGGGTCCCTGATATACTTCTATGTCATGAGTTCAGCTTACTCAAATAGGCTGTGAATGGTAAATTTTGGCTTAGATATAAGAGAATGAGTCTGTGCAGTGATTGTGCATCATATAAAATAAATTCTGCCCCACATGGTGCATGATGGGAAAAACAAAACCCTGACTGTGTGTATGGTTTCAAATAGCAAATTTGCAGCAAGACATATTACTGAAATAGAAATTATTT